TATGGCAGCTACAAGCGCTGCAGCGCATCGACCCTAACCTCTCTCCTGTGGGCCCAAACTGCGCAACCTACTTGCTCGCAGCCCCCTGGCCCACCAGGTAGGTTATTGGTGCGCTTGGCGTTGCTCGAACCCAGGTCCTCACCTTTTAACAACCTTCCCACCAGACAAGTTGTCACCAACTGACCTGCAGATCAATTGGTGACAACTTGTCTGGTGGGAAGGTTGTTAAAGGGTGAAGACCTGGGTTCGAGGAACGCCAGGCGCACCAATAACCTACCTGGTGGGCCAGGGGGCTGCGAGCAAGTAGGTTGCGCAGTTTGGGCCCACAGGAGAGAGGTTAGGGTCGATGCGCTGCAGCGCTTGTAGCTGCCATATGGCGGGGTGTGCCATGTGGTAGGGATTCCCACCGGGATGGGTTGTTACATTCAAAGTATGATTCCTTCCTTCTCTCTTCCCTTCAGCCTTTAAAAGAAACTGTGGAAAAGGCTATAGGTAGAGGTAATATGAGGGATGTCGCGTAAACCCGTGCATACTTTGAATCTCATGGATACCCGAATAATAAATAAATAAAACAGAAAAGAACGTACCGGGAGTGTAGTGACCCGCACCATGAAGTGGCTGCCGAAACAAAAATCATCGATGAAAGGTGCCGGAGAGAACTCAGAAAGAAGAAGGAGATCAAATAAGGATGTTGTATCAAGAGACTTGTGAAGAATTTCACAAGTTATAGAGAGAAGTATGATGGCCACCAGAGCAATGAAGGGTCATCGAACCAAGGATGCATTAGATCGATAACTTAAGGATTTTCTTCGATGGAAAGTCCTAAGTTCTATTATAAGGATCATATATCGAGACAATATCGATAGAAAACCCATTCTATCGAGAGATGTACGTGAGGGTGCTGCCGGAAGACGTACGCTACCGTACACAAGGAGACTGAAGCCGATAGCAAGGAAAGTATCTCCACCCAAAGTGTTTAAAATGCAAAAGAAGATGTTCTATCGACACGGATTATCAGAAAACGATGAATTATCAAAGATTGTCGAAGAAGACCTTGCCGTGACCGAGAGACCATCGAGAGTATCGACCGTGATACGTGTTGTAGCCTATCCGAAGGTTTTGCTGGTATTGTTGATCAAAGACTCGACGTTTCCAAGAATGTTTATTGAAGATTTATGGAGTTTATCGAAGCTTACTCGAAGAGGCCGAGTGTGATCGAGAAAGTATCAAAAAGATCGAGAAAATCCAACTCTTGTTCGTTCAATGTATCTTGCACCTGACAAGACTGCCACTGGGCAAAATTCCGACAAGAATAAAAGAAAAATTGCATAAGAAAGATTTGGGCAAGATTCGGAGGATTCTATCGGACATAATCCCTCTTTTTGCTCCATGTCTGCCACGTGTCCGGCAGGCAGAGGAAGCATTGTTCGGGCAAGTCCGAACCGACAGATGGCATATCCCAAAGCTGCTGAACACAACCAAAGCTGGAGGCTATAAATACGGTCTCTGAGCCTTCATTTGTATTGGTTAGCCAAAAATCACAAAATTCTCATTTTCTCAAGAAACTCTCTCGTTTTCTCGAGAAAGTCTAGTTCGATCGATCTTTTGTCTAGAGATCCGATCAACCATTGAGAGTAAAGCTAAGCCGAAGATCGAGAGATAAAGAAACCACCGAGAGTGTTGTCGTGAGTTGCCAAGAGTCCAGATCTGCCGAGAATTCCTATCGAGAAGCAGATCCGATCGATCCCTTTCCGAGAGATCTGATCAACCATCAAGCAGATCTGATCCGTGAAGTAGTTTTCATCCAAGTAACTACTTATAAGGTTTAGATCTGAGATTTCCATGAAGACCCGAGGTCGTTTGATCGAAAGAAGTGAAGACCAAGAAGCGAGACCGAGTGGAGTTGAAGATCAAGAGAAGATCAAGGCCGTGAAGCTGCCAAATGTCCGAGATCGTGAAGCCTAGCTCAGCCTTCAGCCGAATCTCAGTGAGTCTCGATGCATGTGTTGTGGCACATGAGGGGAAATGGGTTTAGTTATTTATTTTTCTAGCTTGCATGTTCGATTGCTTATTAGCTTGCATATTTTCGTTGCACGCATAGTAGATTCTCGATATATCTTGCTAGATTATCTTGACATCTTTATGCATGAGTAGGAGAAGTACCGAATCATGAACACGATCGTCTAGATCTGTTCTGTATATGATTCCGTACTTGGATGAGTAACTTAGTACTTGAGTCTACGCGTTTTCTGACCATATGTCTCGTTGTACTAAGTTAGGGATATGTATGTGTTTTGTTGGCTGTTCCGTTCTAGCGTGATTCCCGGTTCACTTCCATTTTCTGGAGTCTCACGCTAGCACGATGAGCTTCAGATAGACCTGGCTAGCTACCTTGGCCGAAGTTGCCTACACGACGATGTGGCAAGAGTGATGTTCCGGTCATGTGCCTTTGTGGCTATGACTTGGGTGTTCAAGATGGTAGTGATGTTGGAAGGCATCATATCCGGGCCCTAGGAAATCCAGTCTAGATGGTAGTTTGCATATTCATGCTTTATCATATCTTACTTGGTCGAAGTACCGTGTTTGGTTGTTGTTGTTTAAATGCTTCCGCTTGTTTGTATATTATTTGGGGTTGGGTTGAACTAACGATTGTTGCAGGTGTCCGAACTCCATATTTGTTTGCCGGAAATCTTAGTGGGGATCATTAGGGGAACTCAGGACATAGGGAACTCGGTGTAGAGTTGTTGCTTTTGTAAAATCTTATTAAGTTTTGACGTTGTTTTGTTTTAAAGCTCTTAAACTCAAGGGCCCATTATCGTTTTCGTTGTCGTTGGTGATTTCAAACAAGTTTTTCTTATATGATAATAGAAAAGTATTTTTCTTATAAAGGGGTGTGGTTTATGCCGATATTAGCCTTGTCCGGGCTAACACAACTCTCGGACTTTGGCGACGGTTGCAAAGCCTGAGACGGATGTCCGAGAGGGACGGTTCGCCTTCGGACGGACTGGCTGAGGATTCCTGATCCCTTTGTGGAAACTTTGGCCGGATCGTCCGGGCGGGCTGTCATCAGTGGCGTTCTCAGGTCATCCGCGGCTTGTCCGGCGGTAGGACGGTTCGGGGGCGTTACATGAAGAGTATATTTGGTGTACGTGTCGATCGACACAACTACTGGTGTCGATCAACACAAATATCTGACGGCACTTAAATTTCACGTCTAGTTGAAGTTTGAAAGATTTGCGGATTCAGCCCAGAAGTTTCTCTTATTTGCAATAAAGCCCAGGTCGTGGTTTAGACTTATATATTGAGTTTTAAGGGTTTTGTTAAGACTTAGGCTTTATTCTATTGCAAAACCTTGAGAGCTTTTGGAGAGAGAGATCAGAACTCCCTGTAGAGAGAAGATTTCAATACTCCTTTGTTTCTCTATTCAATTTCTTAATCTATATTATTCAGTTCATAATGCTTGCTTCTTACATGATGTCTGAGAATCCTCGAGCCTAGCGTTTTCTCATATTGTTTTAAAAACCAATCTTTATTTTAATTTGATGTTTTTAATATTAAAACCTTGCTTGCTTAGCATAATTTTAATACCGAATATTTATTGAGTAATCTTTGAGTCTCTGTGTATTTGATCCTAAGTACTACAGCGATCTCTTAATTGAGATGTTGGCTAGTTATGATGTGGAATGGTTAAGTAAAAATCTATTGATCTTTATTTTTATCTTTCAAATTGGCTGGAGAAAGAGGAAGTGAAGGAAGTTAGCGAGCAAGGGGAAGAAGACTGGTATGATGATGATGTTAATGAAGACTTCTTGGGTCAGTTAAGGAAGGAGTTTAAGATATTAAGGAAAGAATATCATCCTTTGATTACTCAGAATCCTATATATTCCTCTAATATATATTAATTATATTATTTTATGTAATCCCTTTAATTATGTCATTTGATTATGTTATGTACTTATATATAAGTTGTATCATTCCATTCAATATTATAAGAACAATACATTTCTACATGGTATCAGAACAGGTTTTTCTCTCGAGTTTTGATCTAACTATCAAACTCGTTTTTTTCATTCTTTTAAGCCAAGTGTTTCCACTATCTAAGTTCATCATGAACCTTTAGATCTAAGCTCTCGAGCTTCTTTTTATTCAAGTCTATCATTTTAGACCTCTGAATCTAAGCCAAATGCTTCTTCTTTTTTTCTTTTTTTTTAAAGCCAAAAGTGCTTACATCATTCATGCTTATCATAAGCTTTGAATCTAAGCCGAAAGTGCTTCTTTTAATTTTTCTTTCAAAAAAAAAAATTTATTCACAATTTTCTTTTTCTAAGCTAAATGCTTCTTTCAATTTAACTTAAGCTATATGCTTCCAAACAGTTAATATCGTTCCAACCTCCACACAATGTGCCGCTTCACGGTAAAACACATAGAATATTTTTTCTATGCTTCTTCAATCCCATATATTCCTCAACGATGTCAATCTCAAAACGTTGCTTCCGCTGTCTACGTGCACTTAATCACCGCTTTGAGATTGAGGGATCGTATTAAGGAAAGAGTATCATCCTATGATTACTCAAAATCCTTTATATCCCTCTAATATATATTAATTATATTATTCTATGTAATCCCTTTAATTATGTCATTTGATTATGTTATGTACTTATATATAAGTTGTATTCAATATTATAAGAACAATATATTTACATAAGAATGGTGGTGAGAAGAAACGAGGTAACAAAAATGTGAAAGATCATTACATTTAGGAATTCTCAATTTTCTTGTATAACCCATCCTTTGGTTTATAGTGGCATATATGGCTCTCATTTACCTTTGTGCATGTTAAGATTCTATTTTAATAAACATCATCTTAGAAGATGATAAGATTGAACTCGTAAGATGGTGTAGACATGGACCGGTTTGCTATGTACACTTTCTCACACCATCTTCACTCGTAAGGGTTTGACATGTCAAATTAGACAACAAAAGAGTCTTTCAACCTTTGTATTGACAATTAATATAGATGTATTTTTTAGTAACATACAAATGAGATATAAAAGGAGGGAGACCTGTAAACATCACAAAACAACTATAGAGATCACATTCACATATACATATATGATGTACGTCACAAGAAAGAAACAATGGAAAACCACTGATCATGCGTCTTTCTAATATTCATCGCCGTCTTCATCGTCGTCCTCTGCTCCTTCTGCACCAACTTCTTCATAATCTTTCTCAAGAGCAGCAAGATCTTCACGGGCCTCAGAGAACTCTCCCTCTTCCATACCTTCTCCTACATACCAATGGACAAAGGCTCTTTTGGAGTACATGAGATCAAACTTGTGGTCTATGCGAGAGAACACTTCTGCCACAGCAGTATTGTTACTGATCATGCAAACTGCTCGTTGAACTTTCGCTAGGTCACCACCTGGAACAACTGAAGGCGGTTGGTAGTTTATTCCGCACTTGAAACCAGTTGGACACCTAAATTTTAGCGTGAACAAATATTTATAATGTGTAGTAGAAGATGATTTAAGAGACAAAGAAACACCGGTATGACCGCTTACCAGTCAACAAACTGAATTGTGCGCTTGGTTTTGATGTTAGCAACAGCTGTATTAACATCCTTAGGCACAACGTCACCACGATACATCAAACAACAAGCCATGTACTTTCCGTGCCTTGGGTCACATTTGGCCATCATATTGGAGGGTTCAAAGACGGAAGTCGTGATCTCAGGGACCGAAAACTGCTCATGATAGGCCTTTGCAGATGAAATCACTGGTGCATAAGAGGAGAGCATAAAGTGGATCCGAGGGTAAGGTACAAGGTTGGTCTGGAATTCGGTTATGTCCACATTGATGGCACCATCAAACCTTAGAGAAGTTGTTAGTGAAGAGATGGTTTGGGAGATTAAGCGGTTTAGATTTGTGTATGTAGGCCTCTCAATGTCTAAAGATCTCCTGCATATATCGTATATGGCTTCATTATCCAACATAACAGCAACATCTGTGTGCTCAAGAAGAGAGTGAGTCGAAAGAACACTATTGTATGGCTCTACAACTGCCGTAGAAACCTGAGACAAAAAAAATTAGTTTGAATGCTATATTTTTTGTAGTAAGACCCACAATTTGGTCTAATAAAAAATGTAATTATGTCGACGTAGTACCTGAGGAGAAGGGTAGATTGTGAAACCGAGTTTAGATTTCTTTCCAAAATCTACGGACAAGCGTTCCAACAGTAAAGAACCCAAACCAGAACCTGTTCCACCCCCAACAGCATTGAACACCAAAAATCCTTGTAACCCTGTGCAATTGTCTGCCAATTTCCTCAGCCTATCAAGGCATGTGTCAACAATTTCCCTTCCAACTGCATCGATGGAACAAATTTTCATTACCATGATAATTAGCAAATGAACTAGTCATGATTAAATATGCCCAATTAGATGCACACTGATACCCAACTTGTTAGCTTATACATGAGTTAAGAACATATGTTGTCAAGTTAATAACCCATGAAGGTGGATCAATATAGCTTCTTATTATAGAACAAACCTATAAAAAATACTAAAAACAACGAAGATATGTAAAATGTATATAACCAGTGTAATGGCCTCTAGCGAAGTTATTGGCTGCATCTTCCTTGCCAGAGATAAGTTGTTCAGGATGGAAGAGCTGTCTGTAAGTGCCGGTTCTTACTTCATCAATGACGGTTGGTTCAAGATCAAGAAACACAGCCCGAGGCACATGTTGACCTGAGCTTGTCTCGCTAAAGAATGTGTTGAATGCATCATGACATGCACCCACATTGCTGTCACTGCAAAACAAATAACTCATTAAATTTTCAATGCTACTCCTAAATAAGAGCCATATCAAAACAAAAAAAAAAATCAAAATGGTTATGAACTAAAGCGATGAATATAAGAGAGGTTTCTTAACATTTCTTAAGAAATGGTGAGCACTTAAGGTGAGTTCTTAGAATTGTTTAGCATTTAAATTTAAGATTTTCTTAGAATAGTTTTTTATCTAAGAAACATTTCTTAACATTTCTTAGATTAAGATTTTCCTAAGATCCTATCAATAACGTTGGTCTAAACTAGAGCGATGAATGTAAAGAAAGACCTGGGCATGGTGCCATCAGGTTGGATACCATGTTCGAGACAATAAAGCTCCCAACAAGAATTCCCGACTTGAATACCAGCTTGTCCGATATGAATGCTAATGATCTCCCTCATGTTTAAAAATTTCTCAGGGACTTGTTCTTCCTGTTTCTCTATGTTTCACGAGGAAGATGGTTGTTGTTGGGTCTCCCGCTTTTAGATGGGAAAATAAAAAAGCTGGAATAGACTGGACGAACATAAAATGAGGATGGCCCCAATAAAGTCTCTTATGCTGGAATTACCTAATTAAAGAATTCACCAATCTTAATTAGGTGGATTTTTTAGATTTTTATCCATTCCAACTTTATTTATTATTTAGATAAAAATTTTAATTATTTTTTCTAATTCAGTTCAAGTCACCGAAAAATGACTTCAACGGATTTTTCGAAAAACGTACTAAGTATTTTCCATTACCAGAAAGCTATACAAGAATATTAGTTCTCCAAATTTTTCCTTTTAACATTTAAAAATTTTAAAACTTATTTTTTCCAAACTTATGATTTTTTTTTTTGGTTTAAATTGAAAATCTAAAATACTCTTATTCATTTCTTGTGAAGTTTAAAAATATATATAATTACTATATAAAGATAAAAATTTAAGAAAAATTATTGAAGAAAAAAACCATGTCAGTTGATCTTCTGCAATTCCGACGGTTTATTCTGAAAAATAATGTAGGCTTAAACTCGTTCTTTTTGCAATGTAAACAAAAAAAGTCTTATAAAGTTAAAGCCGATAAATTAAAAAAAACTCACAAGTTTGCTATTTTACTTGTATTTCACTATTTTAAATTTGCCTTGACAGGATTTAGGTGGGTTAAAAAGTGGTCATATCTCATATGGTTGGGTAAGTGACTCCAAAGTGTGCTCTCTTGCATGTATTTTGATTTTGAAAAATATATGTCTAATGTTTCTCGATTAATCTCCTTAAAATAGTTTACTTGTTTTGTCAATAAATCTTTAAGCCGAAATTATTTTGCCAAGTAGATTCACTAATGGGTAATTTCTTTGTTTTGAAACTGGTTTCAAATAAACTTCCAATGACAATCTCTTCAATTTGATCGATATCTTTGGTTGAACCATGTTCTTCAAAATGATGAATTTTCTTGATAAATCTTTAAACTAGACGTTGTTTGGTAGAGTGGGTTGATGTCTATGATAAATTACATAGGTCGCACATAAAGACGGCATATACTCTATATGTGAGAGGAGGGTTTAGAACTCTAAAACTTTGAGACAAAAGGAAATGACGACATCAATTTTTTTGTCTAAAATCGTTACTGTATACATTGATCTAGACATCTAGTATTGTCATAATATGTTTTTGAGATACATAGTAAAAAACAATTTGCAAGGAAAAACAGAGAAAATAAAAGAAAGAAGAAAAAAGTATACTAAATGAAATTTACAAACTATCATGCTCAATTACCATTGCTCCTCTCCATGTCTCACCGGAGGCCACCTCGACCGGGACGAGCAATGACATTGGCCCTGTGCACACGAAGTAATTTTGCTTCCCATATTTTTCGGACATTGATCCTGGAGATCCCACATACATCTCTTCGTACCCTATCCTTATCACCCTGAAGAACAATCCTCTTCCCTGCAAGATTCTAAACTAATCAGATTTTATTGAATTTAAAGTTAGTGTTAGTAAATCCTAGTCGATGTTGCATACCAAATGTCGAAACGAATGGTACCATATTGATTTACCTGATCTATGGTTTCAAATTTAGAAGGTGGAGTGTTATAGACAGCCTTAAACCTCTCAGCCAGAGGAGCACCATATATTCTACTCATCTTTTTCTCAAGAAGTGTAATCATAGAATCTTCAACAGCCCAAATCCCCGGCTTCTTCCCATCTTCCGACGAAAACCAACCAGAAGAGTCCGCTTTCATTGCCTCTGAAGGAGACAATAGCTCGAAAGGCGATGACAAAGGAGGGTTGGGGCAATAAGAGCATCCTTTTAGTCCTTGAATTCCAGCCCCATACCGTTTCTTGAACCTCAAGTAACTCATAATCCTAGGTTTCATGGTAACCGGTTTTCGTCCATTGTTCTTCACAACTAGAGCTGTAGCCATGCTTACATGATACAGACAGACGATATAAGTTATGTCGAGAACCCCGGCCGTACAGCTCAGTTCGATCTGAAATAAAGTTCATAAAGATATCAGCATTGTTTAGACAATATTTAATATATAGAATTAATCACATGAAGAGCATCAATGGCGTCTGAATCAGTATCTTTAACATTTCAATCATATCCTGAGAGTACTGAAGACACTCCTTTAATTTTGTTCCAGTAGCTTCTTCTCCGTTTATAATAACAACACCAGCTCCACCTCTCCTCTCATCACCGTCAACTGTGTAAAGGACTTCCTCGAATCCATCGTCTTTCTAGTGTACCTTTGGTTTATATGATATGACATGAGCATCTGATAAACTCATCTTTAACGAACTTCCATTTCTGACCTTAAGTTCCACCATAGGACTATTGTTTGATTCCAAGAATTTTATACATTTTCGTCCGAATTTATCTTCAAGCCTCTCAGCTATTGTCTGTGTCTGAGGAGCTGAAACTGAACTTATTATAGCGTTTGGTTTTGGGAGAGAAGTGAAAGAGAAAAGAGAAGGCATTGATCGAGAGTACGGATCGGATAAGAAAAGAAAAGCCTAATCTCTTTCCAACGTTTTTTTTTCTTTTTCTTCTGTTGACAAGAATGCTGAACTACTTAGTGACAGACTTGTTGAACACCAGATTGCATGCTATGAGGATTTTAAGTCTTTTGACACTTGGATCAGCCATGAAAGGAGCCCATACACTTATTTGAATCACCACAAGGCCCCAGCTCATGAAGAACAACCTAAGAAAAAACCCAAGTCCAAACCACCCTTTGAATCAAGGCCGTTGCTCAGCCAAAAGTCGGGAACGTTATTCTTTACGTGCAGTAACCTCAACATCATGTCTTGTATTGCAACAAACGATGAGAGTCTCCGGCTTGCGTGCACTTCTCGTTGATAGCACTCTCCTTCAGGCTTCCAAGTCCATAAAGTGTTCCTTTTGAATTTTTTAGTGTACCATGGAATGTCGAATGTGAAAATTGTTGCATACTCATCAATTATTGTGAACTCTCGAGCCCGTGATGCACCATTTGAAACAGAAGAAGCTCCTGCCTCTATCCCACTCAATTTTCTGTGCAAGTTCTTCTCATAGTTTTTAATGATTCTCTTCGCCTTCCGATCAATATATGTACAATCTAGCTTTGTATGCGTCTTTATGAAGAACTCATCAAGACTCAGATTTTGTCCTATTTTCTATTCATGCTAGGTTACAGTGTAAACAAAGGTAAATAAATAATTTATAAGTTGCAAAGTTGTAACTCCAAAGAAATAACAGATATAAAGAAGTACTAACTATTTCATATTGGATTGGTTCATATGACTCTGGCCCTATGGTTTCTCAAGATAATCATCATCAGAGTCTACTGCATCATCATCATCAGCTTCATCAAATTCTTCCCCTACATCATCAGATTCATCCCCTACATCATCCTCTGCATCGTCATCATCATTATCATCCTTTGCAGCAACATCATAATCATCATCATTCTTCGCAACAACATTATCACCTTTCCCAACAACATCATAAATACCATCATCATCTTGTTTTTTTATACTTTTCTGTTTTGTTTGCCACTCCTTTCCTAATGTCTTTCTTACATATTTTTACTCTATATTCTGATTGGGCAAATATTTCCTTATTTTATTTTATTGGTTTTAAGCATTTGTGTTCATTCAGTTCTAATATTATCTTTGTAATTTTTTTTTAACTTTTGATGAAATTTAAGTAATTATTTTCAACTGTAAAACTAGATGTTACATTTGTATTTGAAAAGTGTTAATACAATTAGTAACTTAGTAAATATTTATCATCTCCTTTGTAGCTTATTTCATACGTACTTTAAATATGTGTGATATTTTTAAAAATGTAATTCAAATCATACTTTTTACATATAAATTATGATTTGTAATTGAGCATTTTTCAAATATATAATATATAACTAAATATATTTAGAACCCAAAGCACACGGTTTTTTCGAATTTCATGCTTTACATATATTAAAAGTAATTAATATTTATTATTATATAAATTTTATATTATTAATTATACTTTATTTGTGCCCCAGGCAGAGGGAATGGGAATATATACCTTAACGATCTCGTCCTCTTCATTAACGGTTGTTGCTTCGGTTCGTCCAAATTTGGTTGGGGAAATTATGTTGGAACAATCTCAGAATTTTTCCTACTTCAATTTCCAGTGCTATCGGCAGTTCTGTCACTACAATTTATGGTTATGTCAGAATCTCAGGTTTAGAACCATCCGGTGGTTATGTCGGAGGAGCGGCGGTTTCTCTTCTATCCTTACGTGGCGCTGGGGATGTTGAATCAAATAGCACAGTCGCATCTTTTACAAGAGACATTACTTCGGCAGCGATGAAACAACATAGACGATTTGTTTTTTTGACGGTTTCTCTTCCACAGAAACAAAACAAAAAATAAAAGCGTTTTATTACTTTGAATGAAGGTAACTAGCAAAAAAGGATATGAATTGTTTGATGGGTTGGTTTGTAATTTGCCAACTTCATTTGGTGTTTTAGACTTTTCTTAATTTTCTGCATTAAAAAAATATAAAACAAAATCGAGTTTATAACACAGGCATTCAAGATTTTTTTTTGGCCAGTTTATGGCTTTCTTGCTATTGTTCACTATATGACAATCTTTTAAATTATTTTGCCCAGAAATGAGGAGTATTTACGACTAAGATGAAAATGTACCTTTTAAAACAAACAAAACAAGATGAACATCCTGATGATTAGACTTATGTCAAAGCGAACGACAATGAAACACTGAGATGAGTTAGTGAAAAATATGTATAGAAATATAATTTTATTCCATATTATTGAAAGATACAAGAAACTGCAATCATGAGCTTGGTTTTACCGCTGATGGTACAATATCACAAACATCTTTAAAGATAGTGATTGGTATACTTATGTCACCCGTGACTTTTAAGAAGCAAGTAGTTGGAAGTGTTGTGAATACTGCTCTACAACACTCTTTTGATAACCCTCTAATATCTGTT